TAAAGGAATTGTTTCATGGTGAGATGAGATGTTTATTTCTCTTTCAACAATTTTAATGACATACTCACCTTTCAACAAATATTTTAAATTCATGGAATGCAAATTAGAAATTTTTAACTTAGGTAATTTTCATTTGTTCAATCTGTAACAGCCTAATTTTCACTGGGCCAAGAGCCCAATTAAAGTGGTTTAGAAGCTCGGAACGGGCCGTTCCAAATTACTAAATATACCTACTTTTGGTAGCCAGGAACGGCCTGCCTATGATTCTTAGTTAAGAATTGGCCGTTCTAGAGTTGAGAACGGACCGTTCCAATATATGACCGTTGTAAGTATTAAATGCACCCTAGAACGGGTCGTTCTGGTTTGAGAATGGGCCATTCTAGATGTGATTTTTACCCATGATTTAAGGGTCCAGAATGGGTCGTTCCAGATTTGGAACGGGCCGTTCCGGCGAAGCTTGATGCCTATAAATTGAGCTCTCTGCCACTCCCAAAAAGCACACCTCTCATTTTCTGATTTCTTTTTCTTATGCTCTCTCTTCTTTCCCTCTACTTTCTACTTCAGACCGAGGGGAACCCAACGAGGGAGACTAACCAGATCTTGTGTAGGTTCAGATTCTACATATCAAGGTACGGGGGAAAAAGGAATTATTTGTATGTAAAGTTACATGAGGGAATTGGGTAGAGGAAGAGTCCCTTAAGATTATGAGTAATTTTATAATTATTTCTGTTTGAGGAATTGTTGATCCCATTAGATTCTGTATGTGTTGAGGATTAGAAATATATATTTAATTTGTAAGAATGATGATCTGGGAGAGAGAACGAAATTGTAAAAAAGTGTCTATGAGTTAGGTTTTGGAATAATTGGGGGTTTTATCATTTATGTTAAGATTATATTAAATTGGTAATTCCATTGATTATTATATTAATTTATGAATGTTATTCTTATAGTACTTGATAAGAATTGATGATCTAGATGTGAATTACTTGAGGGGTGTGTAAACCCTTATTTTGTTAGACTTATCTGTTGTGTATATGGAATTGTGTATGTGATATGGAATTGAGCTATGAGATGAGATGTTGTATGGATGTGATTATGATTGTGATTGTGGTTCCTCACACATATGACCAAAGATGAGACGAACCTTGGGTAAGTGATGTTACAAGGACGAGCGTGCCCCTGACATGGTGTGGGATGAGTGAGACAATTAACACGCATCACTTATGTCAAATATGGCAGCCCTGACATAAGGTTAATTGCAAGACTTGTGTGGATTGTAATGTGATTGTGGTTCCTCACACTAATGACCATGGATGAGACGAACCTTGGGTAAGTGATGCTACAAGGACGAGCGTGCCCCTGGCATAGTGTGGGATGAGTGAGGTAATTAACCCGTATCACTTGTGTCAGATGTGGCGTGGCCTTGACATAGTGTTAATTGTAAGATTTGTGTGAATTGTGATAGATTGATATAATTGTGAATTGAGATGTGAAGATGATGAATGATTGATAAATTATGATATATATATAAATGCTTGTAAAT